GGGAAAAAAAAAAAAAAAAAAAAAAAAAAAAAGAACCATCTTCAGAGATACGATATAAGGAGGAAATTTCGTTGATCAACGCGTATCGATTTTTATCGTCGAACGAACGAAAACGAAATTTATCGTCGGTAAAAACGAGTTAACGTGGTTATAAATGTAATTCGCGTGACAATGGCGGGGAATTGTGGGGAAGGATGGGGGAAATGATCGATAATTCGAGGGTAAGTAGTTCGTTTCGAAATATAATAATCGTTATTACGTTACGTTACGCTTCGTGTCTCGATGCCGGTTCTCCTTCCGAGTACGTAATTTCTACTTTAATTCCTCTCGCGAATAGAGGAAAAGGAAAAAAAACTAATACTTTTAATTACGAACGAAAAACTCCGTTTTTATCAAAAATGGACAAAATTCATTTCCAAATTTATAGAAAAAAATTTTTTAAACGCTCGCGGATTAAGAAAAATACGCGTTTATAGCTGCTCGGTCGATATTTCAATAATTGAGAAATATTCCGTAAATTCATCAAGAAGTACACGACATCTCGAAATATCTATTTTAATTTAAATCCTTGTTAATTATCGACAAGTTGGAATTACACGTCATGTTATATAATTATAGATCATATTAGAAATTCATAAACGATTTGTCAACGATTCTTTATATTTCACGCGATAAGAATCGGACTTTCTACTTTATTTTACCGCCATATTCGATTCCCAAAACTTTGCCAAACTGCATTCAAATTTGTTTACGTACCGAACGCTCGTCACCAGAGGATTTGAATTAATTTTAACCTATCTTGTACTATAATAATAATACGTATATATATATATCGTTTATTACATTTTGGAGAAACGTTGATCTACCTTCCTATTCTCCTAAATCTCCACATATATATATATATATAATCTCGAAAAAAGAAAAAATAATTTTGTCCTTTCCAATCATTGCTCGCGTCAGGTTGAAACGAAAAGAGATACTCGATATAGCATTGCTCGCATTCCCGGAGACTCTCGGAATGGGCGGAGTAACCGTGCAGAAACTTCTTGTCCGCCTTTGTCTTTGTCGTTTCCGCTTCTCTCTTCGCTCCCTTCCCCGTCTCGTTTTTTCTTCCGCCGGGACTTCCATCCGGAATCCCAAGAATTCGCGGAACGGCCTGCGGTATTCGATGTGTATGTAGGAAACGATCGCAATTTCCAACCAATGAAATTCGAGTGGAGGAGCGTAGAGGTTTCGTTGTAAGAGGCCAGGATAGAAAAACGGACGAAGGGAGGGAGAGAGAGAGAGAATCCATTACGATTCATAACGGTGGTCGCCGACCGACCCGCCACCTACATCGCTCCTGGCTATTATTGCTCGCCTATTAGAGAATATAATTATTTCGAATCGATGAAATAATTATCGCGGCGCGGCCGACCAGAGATAACGCAATTAAACCCCCTCCCCCCGTATTGTCGAGTATTTCGCGCGCGTGGATACGAGCAATTTTCGATTTCAAAACCGGTTTCCATTCCGGTCGGGGGAAAAAACTCGTCGATGAATTCTGTCGTCCCGCCGAAATCAAAGCCGTTTCAAACCCCGTTTCTCGTTTCCACAAATGATAATTTATCGTTTATACACGATTGTGCGCGGGGAATTGTTTTTCTTTTCTTTTCTTTTCTTTTCTTTTTTTGGTTCCGTTCACGGGACTGTTTTATTGGTTCGGTAACGGAGGAAAGGGATAACTTTGAACGATCGCCCATTGTCGAGAGAGAGTGTAATTATTATTTTCGTTGTGTTGTGTACACAACGTCGAGGCAACAATGTCGAGCATTGGCTTACCTNCCCGGAAACCTGGTTAATGTTGATTTTATCCCCTACCTACTCCCAATCAAAGGACAACCATCGAGTCAATGGCCACTCTCGTGATATCCTCCTCACGATTTTCGATTTCCTTCTTTCTTCTCGAAAATTCCAAACTCGAGATTCCGAACGAGCCAACGACCACTCGGATAGGCTCGGTTCATTTTTCATTTTGCCGCTTTGGAGGATCGGCCGATAAAATCGTCGCAAGGGGGAGGGGGGTCGTTAACGCACTCGTCGACACGGCGAACGTCAGGCGGACGTCATTTTTAAAGGGCGGCAACAAGGCTCGATAAAATTTTTCCGCTCGAGTGGCCATTTCCAAGGCGTGCGACACACGGTCCGCGCGTATATTCCATGGAAGGGAGTCGCGGAATGAACGATCGAAGACGAAAGACGATGACGGGGCGGCTGAAAGGGCGGAGATTGATGAACCTGGGGGTGTCGTGTATCGAACGGATTAAAAGTAAGGGCGAAAATTTCCTCGTATTTTTCCCTCTCTGTCTCGGAGTAGTCTCGATTATCCTTTTTTTTTTCGCCGAGGATCGAAGCGAACGATGATCGATGTCGCGGATATCGTGCAATATCGTTCGACTCATTTATGCAACGAGATCTCGAATATCCTAATTCATACGAGATATCTTGCGTATTTAACAA